ACAAATTATTGATAGCAAACATGCGATTCCATTGGAAAACCACAAATCAATCAAAAAGGACAGTGGTTGATGAAACTCAAACGCAGGCCCAAAAGAATTACAAACTACACTTGCTAAGGGAAGAATCCGTGAAAGACTTGTACAGACGACTTCTTTTTCTTCTTCACGTGCCATCTCCGCTACGAAGGTTGGCTATTATCATGGCAACGTGTAATATGTCCCAGGTATTGTAGTTTCCTCATTTTAACACTCAATACGACCTCCTTTTGTTTATTCATCCTGTCTAATACAACTTGGTTAGTTATCTTATCCTTCCAGGAGATTTTTAACATTCTTCGGTACGCCCACATCTCAAATGCCTCCGTCCGTAGAGCCGACGATTAGACCAAACACTGGAGGAGTTTAGTTTTGAGAACATAGACGAAACATATGAACATATAAAATCCTGCGTAAAGGAAGCAGCAGCGGAAGCCTTAGGTTGCTAAGAAAGAAGAACAAATAGATATCGACAACGTCTATCAGAAAGCACGGAAGAATGTATTAAGCAGAAGAAACAGTTATATCATAAATGGTTAAGCTCAAAAGAATAAGTGGACCTAGAAAGATACAGAGAGAAGAACAGAGAGGTAAAAAGATCAACAACAAAAGATAAAAATCATAACTACTGGGAATTAACATGTATGAACATCGGACAATACATAGGAGCTACAAAGAACTCAGAACCCTGGAAAGTGATAAAATGTCTGAAAGAAAACACACAGGAAAAACACATTTTACTTTCTCTTCTTTCAGTGCCTATTCGTTCCGAATATTGGCAATCATTCTGGCTATAATTATTTTATTAACTGCTGCTTTAAATAAATTTGTTGTTGTTGTGGAGAACCATTTCCTCAGGTTCTTCAACCATGATATTCTCCTTCTCCCAATTCCTCGCTTTCCGAATACTTTACCCTGTAGGATTACCTTCAGTAATCTGTATTTAGTGCTGTTTTTCATTATATGTCCGAGATATTCCAACTTTCTCCTTTTAATGGTATACATCACCTCTCTTTCTTTGCCCACTCTTCGTAATACGGTCTCGTTGGTTATTTTGTCTGTCCATGATATCCTTAGAATTCGCCTGTATAGCCACATCTCGAAGGCTTCAAGATTTTTCTCCATTGCTTCAGTTAGTGTCCAGGATTCAACTCCGTAATACAATATTGAGAAGATATAACATCGTAGGAGCCTTACTTTTATCTCCAGATTAAGATTGTGGCTTTTAAAGAGTTTGGCCATGTTATTTAATGCACTCCTAGCCTTCTCTATTCTACATTTTATTTCCTGTGAGTGATCCCATTGTTCATTAATTTACTGTTGTTCCAAGATAGTTATACTGTTTTACTCGGTCCACTGGTGTATTATTGATAAGTAGTTGAGCGTCTCTAACTTTATTTTAGCTAATGATCATAAATTTAGTTTTTGTTATATTTACTTGAAGTCCAACTCTTTCACTTACTTCATTTACTTTGTTTATTAGTTGCTGTAAACTGTTCAAACTGTCTGCAAAAATAACGGTGTCGTCTGCATAACGGATGTTGTTTAGGCGTTCTCCACATTTTACTACTACATTTTACTACATTTTACTTAATAATCTTTTAATCAAAAATAAATAGAATGATTACTACCAAGAACTCCTGACAGAAAAGCGAACAAAATTCATGGAAAAAGAACAACAAACAACAAATACAAAGAAACAACTAAATTTATCATTGGAAGAAGTAAAAAAGAACATAAAACAAATAAAAAATAATAAGTCACCAGGCCCCGGAGGGATAGCATCCGAGCTAATTAAATACGGCTCTGAAAAATTGTTCCGTATGATACATATCATATTTCAGAAAGTCTTGGACACCGAACAACAACCTGAAGAATGGTCGACAGCCCATAAAGGAAAAAATAGAAAAACAAATTCAAAATAAAATAGAGGACGATCAGGCAGGTTTTAGAACGGGAAAATTATGTGTTGACTACATCTACACTATACAACAGCTAATAGAGGAGAAAATGGCAAAGAACAGACCAGTCCATCTAGCCTTTATTGACCTAAAAAAGACATAGGACTCTGTGCCCAGACAACGACTGTGGGAAGTCATGCAACAAATAGGAGTAGAAGATAAGCTGATCCATGTAGTGAAGTACATGTACACACATAATATTGTTACAGTCAAGGTAGGTTACAAGTTTGGAAAACCATTTAAAACCACGAAAGGTCTCCTACAAGGCTGCTCGACTTCACCTACACTCTTTAAAATATTTCTTTAATACGCCCTAAAGCCATGGAAAAAGAAATGTGAGGGAATGAGAGTGCCCATAAGGAACGACCATTTGTATACCCTCAGTTTCGCCGACGATCAGGTCATAATAGCACAAGACGAGGAAGATCTAAGTTATATGGTTCGAAAACTAGAAGAAGAATATAATATAAATGGCCTGGAAATAAACATTAACAAAACAGAATATCTGAACATAACACAAAAACCAACAAGAAACGTGAAAGTGTATGACGGGCGTGAAATAAAGGGGACCGATAAATTTAAATACATGGGGTTAATTAAAAATCGAGTGGGTCAAACCAGAAACTCTATGAACTATAACTGAATCCAATCCTATGGGACAGACACATAACAAAAAATAACAAAAAAATAATTTATAACACGATGATTCGCAGCATTTTAACATATGGAGCAGAAAATTGGGTCTTAACCAAAAGCAGCAGAAACAAAATAAACGCCACAGAAATGAACTACTCGAGAAGAAGCTGCAGAGTTTCCAGAATAGACAAAACATTTAACGACGAAATCAAAAGAAGAATGGAGATAAAGAAAGACACCTTAAATTACATTGAAGAAAACCGATAGATAGCAAAAATAACAGAGTGGAGACCCATAGAAAAACGCAAAAAAAGAGACAGACCAAGAAGATCTTTCAGAGATGAGGTAGATGAAGTCCTGAAAAGAAGAGGATTGGAAGATGGAGAATGGGAGGACAAAGAAGAATTGAGAAGATGGTTGAGAGAAGTGGGACAGCGACAGTTGTAGGAACCCCTCTTTTATTATTATTATCTTTTCGAAAATATTGGCGCTTTGTTTGAAATTATATACTGGACGTTATTACTCTGCAGGTGGAAAAGGCCACTCTGAAAAAGTAGTTTTAGAACTAATGCGAGATAAACTTAATAATGCATTGGGCATTCTCTTTGTATATATAATTTTTATGGTGTTGATTTAGCAAAAACGCTTTAAAAAAACGATACCTTCCGCACAGGAACTTTAATTTCCAAGAGAAAAGGTAACCCTAAAAAAGTATTAGAAGCTAAACTAGCACAAGAGCAGACAGTAGGGCAATACAAAGATGGCATTTTAGTAGAAAAGGGGATAAATATAAGTTATGTACATATTCACGGAATTTAAAAATGATCTTATCGAAACTGAAAACAAAAGAAACCAAATAAAACTAAAACCCCTACCTATATCCAAATATAATGAGTTTATGAGTGGTGTTGATCCCAAAGATCAAATGCTCGCTTACTATCCATGTAAGCGAAAGACGCTCAGACGATATAAAAAAAATAAGTATTCACATATTTCAGGTTTAGTTACTAAATTTCTATTATTTGTACAAAAGTTATACTCCATACACTGGTAGAAAAATGAATTTATATGAATAGCGTTTAGAAATTATCAGACATCTTTTAAAAAATTCTGAAATAGTATTGGTTACTCCAGCATACAAACAACAATAAACAAGAGACAAACACGGCATTTCAAAAATGTTAGTAAAACAGCAGTCTGCACATCAATTCATTTATTTATACTGGAACCAATTAGCCGCAATAAGAACAAATCTTGGATATGAATCGACGGAAGCCATCCAGATTCTGCGAGAAGTTAGATAATTCCCCTACATTATTTAACCTAAATTGAGAGGAAATATTTAATGAAGCCTTGAAAAATTGTGAACATGGAATCTTTTTAAATGAAGAACACCTAAACAACATCTGCGATGCAATGACACCGTTTTTTTTGCAGACAGTTTAAACAGTTTAGAACAACTAATAAGTAAAGTAAATGAAGTAAGTGAACGATTTGGACTACAAGTAAAGTAAACATATCAAAAACTAAATTTATGGTCATCAGCAAAAATAAAGTTAAAGACTTGCAACTGCCTATCAAGAATACACCAGTGGACCGAGTAAAACAGTTTACCTATCTTGGAACAATCATAAACGAACAATGGAATCACTTACAAGAAGTAAAATGTCGAATAGAGAAAGCTAGGAGTGCATTCAACAACATGGCCGAACTCTTTAAAAGCCACAACCTTATCTGGAGTAAAAAAGTAAGGTTCTTACAATGTTATATCTTTTCGATATTATAGTAAGAAGTTGAATCCTGGACACTCACTGAAGCAATGGAGAAAAAAACTGAAAGCCTTCTAGATGTGGCTATATAGAAGAATCCTCATGGACGGACAAGAAAACCAACGAGACTGTACTACGAAGAATAGGGAAAGAAAGAGAAGTGGTGTATACGATTAAAAGGAGAAAGTTAGAATATCTAGATGTGGCTATATAGAAGAAGCCTCATGGACGGACAAGAAAACCAACGAGACTGTGTTACGAAGAATAGGGAAAGAAATAGAAGTGGTGTATACGATTAAAAGGAGAAAGTTAGAATATCTCGGACACATAATGAGAAACGGCACTAAATACAGACTACTGAAATTAATCCCTCAAGGTAAAGTATTCGGAAAGTAAGGAATTGAAAGAAGAAGAATATCATGGTTAAAAACCGTAGGAAATGGTTCTCTATAACAACAACTAATATATTTAAAGCATCAGTTAATAAAATAATTATAGCCAGGATGATCGCCAATATTTGAAACAAATAGGCACCAAAAGAAGAAGAAATGAGACAAACAGGCTGGACTAAAGAATAAAAATGTATTTTTGAACTTACCATTTAGTTTTTCGGGAACCGTGGATCCGAAGCCCGAATCATTCGATCGCAAACTAGCACTAGTGTCTTCAGTCGACGTATTGTCTTCACTATCACTATCATTACTGTCATTGTCTTCAGACGTTGTCGGTACCATAGCGGCAGCATTGCTGTTGCGTTTGCGAGGTCTGGGATAATGTCTTCCCTTAATTAACTTAGGTCGCGCAAATATTTCTACAGGACACTCATCGAACTGTTCCGGCTTAGCCCAAGGATGCATCCATTGCGTTAGACGATTGGACTGAAGAGGTACGAAAGCTTCCTTCTTTTCTTCTTGCTCGGGCTCAGGCTCTGGTTCCGGCTCTGGTGGTGGAATAAATACGACCAAATCTGGATCGTCCTTGGTCGGTTTTTTTAACAGCGATCGTTTGGAGATTATTTTGATAGATTCCTTCTTTTTGGCAGCTTCTGATGTTTCTGCTTCTTCGGAATCCTTATTTCTTAGGTTTAACTTCGAAATATTTGCTGATTCTTCTTCAGTTGTAACTGTATCTTGCATTGAAGTTAATTCTTTTGTAACAGTAGTTGCTTTGCTTGGAGATTCTTCAATGCCATCTTCTGCAACACTAGTCAAATTCGGACATTTACTAATATTTTTTTCAAGATTATTATTCTTTTTCTTCACTTTAGGCTTCAGTTCTTTTATAGTTTTACAATTCTGTTTAACATTTTGTTTTTGTATGATGACATTCTCTAAACCAGTTTCTGTTCTTGGAATAGCAATGATTCCCTTATTCAATTTTTCTTGTTGTTTAGCTTGTTGGACGTTAATAACAGCGTTAACTTTAAGCTTTTTGTCTGATTTAGGTGGTTTTTCTACTTCTACTTCTACTTTGTCGATCCGTGCTACCAAAGTCTTCTTAGGAACAACTATATCTTCCACACTTCCAGTGATAACTGGTTTTATCTTGAATTTAATTTCTTGGATTTCTACATTGGATATATCCTTCGGTGTTTCTGGTGGTTTTGAGTTATTTTGGAGTACCTTTGCTTCTATTTCTTCTTTTTTGTTTATTGTTGAACTTGTGTCATACTTATCAGTTGCCTTATCCCTGTTGTCCTTCTTTAATACCTCCACAGAACTTTTCCTTTCTGCTTCAGCTTCTTTTGCTTTCAATTTTTGTTCATTTAACATTTTTTTATTTAAAATATTTGCCTTCAACTCATTTGCTTTTTGTTCGACCTGCAATTTCTTTAATTTTAAATCAACTTCTTTACTTTCAAGTTTTCCTCCAGTTGAAATAATTTTATTGCCTGAGTTGATTTGCTTCTCTTGTTCTGTGATGACTGGTGCAGATTCTTGTATCTTCGAGACTACTTCTTTATCTTTTTCCTTATTTTTTGATTCATTTGAAAGTATTTTGCTGTCTGATTTTATTTTTTCTTCTTTTTTTAATACTGGTGCAACTGGTAGTTTTGATGTAACTTCCTCTTCCTTTTTCTTTAAATTTGTTGGGAATTTTGTAGCTAATGTAGTTGTTGGTTTAATTTCTTCTTTATTGTCTTTGTTTCCTGTAGCTGCTTGATCATTTTTTGTTGAATTCATTTCATCCATTTTTTCCTTTAAGTTGGGCTTTAATTTACTATCGTTGGTACTTACACTTTCCTTAAAATTCTTCCTTAAAATATTTGTACCATCAGTATTAGATTTATGTTTAACAAGGTTATCTTTTTTGGATAAAATATCTGGTAATGTCAAATCTCTCTTTAAAGCAAATGTATCGTTTGTTTTTGAGACTTTTTTTTGTTTTTTAATACATAGATCTGACTTACTTTTGTTAAGTTGGCCACTGTCTCTCCTAGTGTCATCTTGATCAATTTTAACAGGTTCTAAGTTACTGGTAACTTTGTTTTTGTCGTCTTCAGAAGCAACTTCGATATTTTTTACTTCATTTTCACTTTTGTCAGAAGATTCGAATTCATTATTTGAACTGTTGGATCTAAAATCTGAAAGATTAACAGAAACTACTGATTCGTCCGAACTCTCGGTTTCTTCTTGGCTGGACAATATTGAGTTTAGTATGTTGAGGTCTTCCTGCGAGATTTCTGTGGAAACTCTCCGAATGTCCTTCAAAAGATTTTCACTCGAGAAAGATCTACTTTGGCGCCTTTGGATCTCTACAGGTTGTCCTGGATTTAGATCATCGGAGATATTTTCTAACGTGATGGCAGTGCAGATATCACGGAAGCTAGAGGTCTTTTTGGGCAAATATTTCTTTGGTGTTTCAACAATGGCAGCGATGTTTTCCTTGCTTCGACTACGTATTAAAAATTTCTCTTTTAGTATCTCACCTTTTGTTTTCTTTCTTGTTTTAACTTCGTTCGTTAATTCATTTGGCTCAAAGTTGTCTCTCCATGTTTTGAATGCTCCGATTTCTTCTTTCACTGTATCGGCATGAACAGTTCTGATTCGTACTGTTGCTCTGTCTCTTCTTATTGTTGGTTTTGGCTTAGATTCTTTAACTACTTCGACTGGTTGCTCTTGAATGTATGGCTTAGGTTCTACTTGCTTTATTCTTGGTGTTTTCTTTTCGTACTTCTTATATCTATTTACAGAAACATCAATATCAGCTGTATTTATTACCTTGATTGGTTTGATGGTTCTCGAAGATATATCTGTAGGGTACGTTAACTTTGGAGTATTTAATCTTCTGTAAGGCGAACTGATTTCCGATATCGTAGACAGATGAGGTTTATAAACACCGGGATATCGCGATAAAGGCTTTGAATAATTTATGTAACTAAGGGACGAGCTATTATAATGGGGAAAGCTGAGAGCACTTACAGTTGGCAAACTGTATAGTTCAGAGTAATTCGGCATTTTTTAATCGACAGATCCACAAATATATTAATTACACGTGATTGTGATTTGCTTGTAAATGTCAAAGCACTAAGTATTTTAAACGGGATGACATTTGTTGAGGTTTTAATCTCCGCAAAACATTCTTTTTTAATTTTTCGTTACAGCTCGAAATATTGTCAAACACTTTTGCGAAATAACCGAAATTATTGCCTCTATTTACCGCATTAAGTCTCAAGAAAAACTAACAATTCGTGTGGATCTTTCTAAAATTACTATTTTTATCCCGTTCCTAATGACGCAGGCTAGTTGTAGCATGTGGTGCCAAAAACACCTGTATTAGTATATTTTTGTTCTTTACTACGAACTCTTAACTAGCCGTACCTATTCTAATGTTGGGATTCGGAAATAGAATCTGCAATTATTTCTATATCAATTTAATCTTGACCTTCCCTCTTCCTGTCGCATGTAAAAACGATTTATAGGTCGATATTTCTTGGAATTATTTAGTAAATTCACGACAGGAATGGACTTGATAATCTAGACTAATAATATTATTTATAGCACGTGAACAAGTAATTTTCAAACGATCCGATAACATTTTTTATAAGATACAAATTATTCAAAATATCAGACTCTACAAAAATATACTTAATTTATTGCAGTTAAAATACCAGAAATATTTCCCAAATATATCAAAATCAAACAAATAATAAATCAATGTCATCCAGATGTGTTTGTGAAATTTAAATTTCAATTCTTGTATTGTAAATAATGAAATATTCACTTTGTTAGCATCTAATAATTCTAATAACTTAGTAATTTTCTCCTGAAGAAGTCGTGACGAAATTTTGCGATAAATCTTATAATTTTATTTCCTACTGACCGAGTCGAAAATAATATGAACATTTTATAATAGGAAAAAGGCGGGTAAAACGAGGTAGGTGCCTAAAACGGGGTAAACCTATTTTGTTCAATAACACTGGCTCCATCTATACGACGTTAATGAAATTATATTAAAGACGCCTCGTTACGGCTTCTGTCATAAAGCAGATATTATTAGTTCCTAGTCGATTGTTGTGAACAGTATAGACTGCAAGCACATGGGACATTGTTAAGGGGTCATTCGATACAGCATAAATCACATATAAATATTAAAGTACTACAATATTAAATACCTATAGTTAGAAACTATGCCGTCAATTTTTATCAGTAGAAAATTCCTTGTAAACGCGATCGTTTTTATTTAGGTAAAACATCAAGACCAGTAAATGTTAGAATAAGTGATGAAGATCAAACATATCAAACTATATTTCTCAAAAATAGAGAATCATTTAAGTCAATCTTTAACTCTTTAGTAATTACGTCTTCTTCTCACTCTTCTTCTTCTTCCTTCTTATATGTAGATTTTAAATCCTGTTTCTTTCTTCAATATTAGCCTCCTAAATTGTTTAAATTATCACAATATCTTCTTCTTGGTATGCCAGTACTTCTTGGCCCATTTGGTGACTTTGTAACCTCGGAAATCTTTTTTGGGTGGTGCTAGAAAGATAACCAATGAAGACACTGCGGACGGCAACCAGATGGTTGGTGGAGAGCAAGTCGTGGGTTCGAAACTAGCTTTTGGAACCGGAAATGGATCAAACGGAAGAAATAGGTAAAGATAGGATAAGAGATATTAGAAAAGATACAGAAATAAACAAAAAGATAGAAGGGTAAAATTACCAAAGATAAGAGAAGATAGAAACAGGGCGCCACTCAATTTTTTGGGGTTAAGGAGAAAATTAAGAAAACCTTAGAAAAGAAAAGAGATAAGAAAAGATATTTAGGTTCAGAGATCAAAACCAAGGAAAGATACCAACAGTAAATTATCAAATAAATCTGGTCAACGCAATATATAAACAAATAATAAATATATTAAGTATTACACTTACTTACCTACGAAACTTAATCAGCCTGATCTTTTTACAGTTTAAAAGCATAGTAATATTTAAAGATAGTAATTGTTCAGAGCTATTATTTTATCAGGGAACTTGTTAGGAGCCGACAAATAAAATACATGCATAAAACAATAACAATATATTAAACACAAAATTACGATGCTGCTAAATGCAACACAGGTAATAAAAATACACAACTATGAAATGGTGTTATATACGTATAAAATTAAGCAATATTGTAATAAAAAAATACCTTTACCAAGATATATAAGGCAATCATATTCAAATATAGTTTGGTGTATCTCGAGATATCATAGGAAAGATAATGAACAAAAATTATAGGAAATACAAAAGATAGCAAAAATTACTTAAATCTAAATTTACAAAAAAAAAACAAAACGGTTACAGAAATAAAAACATAAACCAAACCGCACTTGGTTAAGTCAATTAACTATCTCGCACTATTATTTAATAAAACACTGATACTTGTATGTTCATAGGTAATATTTATAGAAATTTCTTGCATGGTTCAATTACATTCAAAAATCGGCAATCTACAGGTGAAGACATAGATGATACGTCCAGATAATGGCAGGTGATATGATACCATACCATATTACTCGCCCAGATAATTGTAGATAAAGATTACTTACAGTAGATCTTGACGAAGGCAGCTTAATTCACTGAATACTTTTCTGGTACTAAACACTGAATTTAATAACCATTAAAGGTAGTGTAGAACTATATAATTTAATATAGTCTAAGGAAAGAAAACTCAAATATGAAGTGTACACACACTTAGAAAATAATTCACAGCGACGATAAGACAATAAATATCGTGAGCAAAGCGCATCACGAGATATCACTTCACTCAACAAGAGCCCACCGAGAAGTAAGTTGGTTCCCTAAAAATTTCACCAACTATCCAAGAAAAAAGAAGAAGAAGGTATATCCCCCACTTAAAATCATCGGACAGTCGTATGTATTTCTCAGAAGGTAAGGTCTTAACGACTATTGGAAAGTTTGAGGTAAAATAATCGGTATTAACAATTGGACCTGAGAATATTAAAATGCTTAGGATTATATTATTGTCAAAAGATACGGCCTTCGGCGAAAATTACCAATTTATAAAAAAGAAACTGCATACCGGAAAGCATTTGTTCTTTTCATACAGAGTATTAAGACGGAAGGATTAAAAACCTTTCTTAATTAGGGAATTCCATTTCAGCTTGGTGTCTACAATAATATTTTCCCATCGTAAACACGGGGATTCTTAAACATCGGCGTATCGCACGGGGGTAAAAGGAATTAAAAATAATTTGATATATTAACAATAAAAAAAATGTTACAACTTATCTAGTGCTATTCGTACTATACTATCCTCTGCCATTCTACTAATGTGCTCGTTCCGTTCCACTCCTGTTTCCGTTTTGTCACCCATCCATTTATGTTTTCTATATTGCATGTTCTTCTTATGTTTTCGCTTCTCTCCCTATCCAACAGGCTTCTCCCTGATATTTGTCGGAGTATTTTCATCTCAGTTGTTTCTAGTAGTCGTCTCGTTTTAGATGTGTCAGGTCTTGTGTCCACCGTGTATGTTAATATAGGCCTTGTAACCTCGGAACCCTTTTTTGGATGGTGCTAGAAAGGTCACCAATGGAGACACTGCGAATGGCAGCCAGATGGTTGGTGAAGAACGAGTCGTGGATTCGAAACTAGTTTTTTTAACCGGAAATGGGTCTGGCGGACGGAATAAGTTAAGATATAACAGGATAAGATATATTAGAAAAGATAAAGAAATAATCAAAAAGATAGATGGGTAAAATTACCAAAAATAAGATAAGATAGAAAAAGGGCGCCACTTAACTTTTTGGGGTTCAAAGGAAAAATTAAAGAAACCCTAGAAACGAAAACAGATAAGGAGAGATAATAACAGTTAATTATCAAATAAATTTGGTCAACACACTACATAAACAAATAATAAATATATTAGGTGGACTTCGTCCACTCACTTACCTAGGAAACTAAATCAGTCTGATCGTTCTCTTGGTCGAAGGTATAATAATAATTTAATATAACAAGCAAATATTTAGAGGTATTGTTATATCAGGAAACTTATGAGGAGTCGAGAAATCAAATTCATTGATAAAACAAAACAATATATTCAACAACACGATTAAATTTGAATCAATCTGATGATTTTAAATCTGAATGTAAACACAAGTAAAAGAAATCCACCATCAATTACATAGGCCTACATTTTTATTTTCATGAAAAAGTGTTTTAAGTTGAATATGTGTACTATAGTAAATGGGATGTGCTGCTCACGAAACTGTACTTAATTTTTTTTCAGCACGTCAGATTTTCAAGAAAAATTTGTTTGAAATTTTTCATAGAAACTCCAAAAATACTGAGAAAATATTTATTGAAACCTTATTTAATATAAAATTACACTGCAAAATTGAGTTGTAAAAAAAAGAATTTAGTATAACCTACGTTAGAAAATATTTGCTGTTTTTTTTAAACCTAACCTAACCGTTTACTTTTTCCATGAAAACTGCATTTTGTGGTCTTCTTTTTATGAATTTTTATGATCGAGTATCTCTTCAAGGTCCAGCAGTAATCAGCCATCATTCTTATATCCCATCTTCCTTGGTAACGTCTTTCCATCTCCTTTATATCTTGATGGAACCTTTCTTCCAGTTTCAAAAAATAAAGTTTGACGCACATATTGCATCCGAGTTTTTTATAATTTTCGACCATGTTAGCTACAATTTCTTTATAGTCTGAAGACTTGTTGTTTCCAAGGAAACCGTCTATGAGTTTTACGAAAGAACTTTATGCTTCAGATTCATCCTGGGTCATTGTATTCTGGAACAATCTGTTCGATTTTAAGGTTCACATTTGAGGGCTTACAAAAATTCCTTATTTGAGGTTAGCTTTAGAAAGTGCAGAGATATTTAAAGTAGTCACATTTTTTATCAAAAAACTAAAGCTTTGACAAACTGCTTCATTAATCCTAACTTTATGGGAAGAGGAGGCAGAAGAACTTATTTTAGGTCAGCTAGTGTATCACCTTGCACATTTTTTTGTCCCGGTACTAGTCTTTTCCGAAGTGGCCACTCTTTCTTAACGTAATGTATATTTCATGCTCGAGTATCCTACTCGTATAAAAAAAAATGGATATTATTTTTAAATCTCCACAGAATTGCCAACAATATTCGCTATACTTTCTCTCAGATTCACGGAGGGAGCAGCAGGCACTGATTCACAAGTATTACCATTGTGCAACAATGACACTCTTCAGACTTCTCTTAGAAGAATCATTAAATAATCGTCATGATGTGAAATCGTAATTGTCACCTCCCAGTTTCATGGCTACTTCAGAAATATTATGACAATACACCCCTGGGCCCTCTTGGGA